CATGTTCATGAGCTCATAAAATGTACTAGGTGCAATTAGATAATCCCAAAGCATTACCAACCACTCATAACAACCATACTTAATTTAAATGCAGTTTTCCCATCCCCATTGCCTGGAAATGCATCTAATTTGATGATAAACTCCTTTTTCATCCTTCTGAAAAGAGGGATATTCAAACCTCAGCAGTGATTGACCACCTCTACCTTTGGAAGAGCGCTGCGGAAAGCATTCCTGATCAGTAGTCTGCATTGAGTAAATCCAACCTCTAAATTGAGGACGGTGCAGAATGCTGTTAAATTAAACTGGATCCAGAAGGAGGAATTTGAAGAAGGGACAGTTGTAGGCAGATTTGATGATGGAGGAGCTTTTATGTTTTCCTTTCCTACATCCCTTAAGCACCAAACCCACTGGTTTTCTTTTAGGTTGAGCAATAGGTTTTAGGCTCTCAGCCTTTTTGTTTTTCCTTTTCTCCTCCTAACCTTCTTGCAAAATCACCACCACTCATATCTACCGAAACAAAACAAAAATGTTAAGAGTCATTCAAGACTACACAAACAGAACAAGATTATAAAAACCTAGATACCTTATTGAGTTTTTTTTATATGAGCGTTTTTCCCCAAGCGAATCACAGGGTACTTTTAAAAGCAAAAGACGCTTGGATATGGATTTATTTCTTAAGCAATAGTCCAGCCATATGTCCTCTATGCTCATCCTTCTCATTATCAAGTCCAAAAGCTATCCTTTAATGAAACGATGGGCGTGAAATCGAGACCCAACAAGTTGGTTCAACCCCAAAATATGACATGCTTTTGCAGTAAAAAAAATTTTCCTTCGCTTCCTTTTAAGGAACTGGCATCCACTTCAAAAATGCCTAAGATGACCCCCGAGCGAAAAGATGAGGATGAATTCCTTTCTTTTCACGATTTGTCCAAAACAAATATAAATCCATTTAATCACATTAAGGGTGAAAATTCCAAATTAACCTGGCAGAGCCCTAAAATGCCTAGCCAAGCACTATTCAATATATTTGGGATAATGAGCTGAGAAACATTTGCAGAGTAATACCCAAGTTGGTGAAGATAATGCATAAATCTTCTTAATAAATCTTCTTAATAAGGGAAGAATGGAAAACGCCTACTCTTTTAATCTTCCTCATACAAATCAGGAAGTTAGGGGCGTTTGCTCAGAATTTTTTTTCGAAACATTGACACCCATGGTGAAAGCTTCAAATTCATTAGGAAATTTGAATATTTTATTCTAAAGTCTATAAATGTTCATCCTCTTTCTAAACAAAGACCTCAATCTGAGAAACCCTATTTTTCCTTTTGTGCACTAGTTTTTGTTCTATTTGCATTTTTTCTTTGGGTTTTGATTAAGGAACGAGAAGGATTTTTTGAAGATCTATCCTAGGCAAGGAGGAGTAAATTTCTATCTCTAATTTATGATATTGTGGCTCGAACCGAACTATCAAGGCTACTATGGAGGCCTGGTCAAGCTGCTTCCATGGCGGCTAGTCGGCAATTTGAAGGAAAACCACCCGATTAAGTTTTTGTTTTAAAACTTGAAAATGAAGAAGGAAGAAGCTCAATGATAATGGTTTGCGCTTTTTCCAAAGAGAGGGTTGGAAAAAGCTCAATTAATGAAAATAAAGTGAGAGTAAAAAGGGAAAAGAAAAATTGGAGAAAAATTACCAACTGGAAGAATGTTGAGATGGTAGATTTAAAGGAAATTGTTTGACAGTGCCAGCAAAGACTTCAAATCGAAGAGATACTCTAGGCTTCAAAATTTAATAAGCAAATGAGTGGGACCCGCAGAAGAGACGCCAAGTTGAAAAGTAGAACATCAAAGGGCGCTCCGTAATGAATAAAGAAGAGATGCATCGTTCTACTGGTGCAATTGAATAATACCAAAAAAGTCACATCTGTCATTAAAGACAGAGACTGCCGAAAGCTAACAACTCAAGGGCTAGAAGGCTAAAGTTCGATGGTGTAGGCCATACATGAAGGATACCATTGTAAAAGTGGCTCGTCCAGTATAAATATGGTGCAGAGAACACTAAGCATGGATGAAGCAACAATTATATTTTATATATCAAGTCGAACATAAATGATCGTTTTATTTTTGGGAGGGACTTTTAGGATTGATATAGATTAAATAAATTAACAGGTTGAGCAAACCTAAAGGACTGAGCAATCAAACAAAGAATGAACCAACAACTAAATGAGTCTTGATGCAATGTTCCCTGAACTGACAATCAGTAAATGCTCCTGTCAAAAAATCATTGAAGTCAATTATTGGCCAGATTTCGCCCGATATTTTACAGCCGAGATTCCTTTGTTAGTATGTTTTGTCTTCAGTTACATCAGGAAACATATCATAAATACTTGTATCATATCTCAATTATACGACAATGTCACTACATCTAAACAACAAATCTAGCAATTTCTTGTGGATTTTCATATTTTAACTTCTATCAGTCACTAATCTTCATTCTCAGGTCAAGTGAATATCTGAACTTGTAACTTATTCCTTCCAATCGGTTTTTAAAAGTGAAAAAGTGTGTTTTGGAGAGTGAAGCTTCTATTAGTTAATTGCATTTATAGGCAAGAAGATGTCGTGCTGAGAAGAGATGAAGTAGTATAAGCTATGAAATAAATTATTTAGAGGGTGATATGTTAAGTTGTTGAATCTATATATCAAATTGTTCTTGAAATCCAAGGGGAATAAGATGAAGATTATGAAATAATAATTTTTTCAAAAATCTAATTTGTAATTGATTGTAATTATGCAATATTTATTTGTAACTATTTTTGATACTTAAGCATGCTTTCCAGATATGTTGGAAAGCTCACATAGCAAGCAATCTGAACAAATATTCTTAAGATGTCCACTCAAATTAAAGAAGAAGCTTGCCTAGTTCTTAGATTCCTTGATGGCCACCTGGAAGTAAGGAACAACTACAAGAGGAAGAGAAAAATTTTTGATTCTTATATAAGAATTTGTTGAACCATAAGTTGAACTGAGAGCAAGATCTAAACTAGAGTGTATATTTGGAGAGAGTAATAACTTTCATATTCCTTTAAATGATACATAGATCAAATCATGTTGCAGGGGCTGAAGTTGAATAGTTTAGATAAGTTTATGGAAATTTTTGTGTCAAATATGGGTACATGATATTCCCTAGTTCAATTACTACACAATTAGTAGCTATCAAAATTGGCTTTAGTTGTTGAAAAGTCAAATTACTGAGCTCACCCGAACAGTCGAGTCCATCATTTATGGAATAGGATAGTTAACAACATTCTAATTTGTTGGGGAAGATGTTGAGAACGATTAATAGAATAAAGAGGACAAAAAAGAAAGGAAGTTCACTGAATTTTAAAAAGGTTACGTATAAGTTAATAATCTTAATTATTCATACTATAGGCGATGATTAGTCCCCCTTTTTGTATTAGTGTAGGAAGATTATGGAATGATATAATAGAAAGTTATGTAACCTTGAGAGGGAGAGTTCTAGTGAGTCAATTAATTGTTAAGGTTATAATTTTCCTCATCTCAATAATTTTAAAAAAAATAAGATAATAAAATCATAATGTTTGTTTGACTTGAAAAGAGCCTACTTTTTTTTTTTTTTTTTTTTTCAATACATGTGTGGAATATTAAAATATTAATTTGTTTTTATCTTAAATGATTACTAGTAACTAAGTTCTTCTCAAATTCAATTTTCAGGATTATTGGTTGAACGTTTTCTACTTTTTTTTTTTTTTTTCAATACATGTGTGGAATATTAAAATATTAATTTGTTTATCTTATATGATACTAGTAACTAATTCTTCTCAAATTAATTTCAGGATTATTGTTGAAGTTTTTATGCTCTGAATTAAAGCAAGTGATTGTAATGGATGAAATGGATCAATGGAATGGAAGGATGCAAACTCATGAATTTCTTATTAATTATATTGTTATTTATGTTCAATTATCTTTGAATTTGTTGTTTATGTTGAATTTATTTTGAATTAGTTGTTTATATCGAATATTAGTATTGATTTCAGGTTGAATTTGTGGTTTTCATATTAATTATTATTTATGCAATTTCTATTTCTACAGTTTATATCGAATTTAATTGGTCTGATTTGTTCTTTGGTTTGAGATGGTAAAAATTTTGAATTCTTGACTTGAATTTGCAGATTTCTTTTTTGTATTCTAGCAATTTTTTGGATTTTGTCGTAGCATTTTTATTTTTTTTTTTTTTTTTATAAAGTAATTTGAAAGTATTTTGAGCTAGAGCTCGAATTTGGCTCATTTATATTATCGAGTGGATCTAGAGCTCCCCAGATGTGGGCTCGTTTACAAACCGAAGCACGCATACATGGTCAAAATGTGGCCCTGCTTGCAAGTGAACCATTGGGCATTTTCATATAATATAAGCTATGGTCTGCTGAAACACTAAAAAACAATGGTGAAACAATAATAGTACCCTAACAAGAAGACAAACTTCACCAAACATGCTCTTGGAGTCTTTCAATTTCCAAGATTATACAACTCTCTTTTTTTAAATGTAAATTCTTCACGATAAGTTGGCATCCAAATGCAATTATTGCAGCTTCATTTCAATGAAGAAAGTACCAAGGACGTCAAACAAATGAAATAAGCCTTTAAACATTATTTCAAACATAATAGACTTCAATAATTGTACCCAAAATATTAGGCTGGCTACACCTTTGCACTGATCAGACGGCTGCTGCTGGTAGTTGTTATTATCTTTTTTATTCATTAAGAGACTCGATGGGTTGAAGCAACACTGTGGATTATATAATAAAATCTTCACCGAATTGGTGAAGATACTTGTGATCGAGAGGACTCCTCAATTGAAAAACCAATCAAACCACATCTGATTGGGGGTAAATGTTATTGTTGAACTTAAATTTTTTTATGTTTCTCCATCTTAGTTTGTCTCCGTAGATTGTATGCTTATTGCAAATGAAGTAAACAATTTTTTGAACCGTAAATATTGTAAATAAAGCAAACAGAACTGCATACATAGCAAAATTTTAACAAATACAGCAAAAATGTAAGATCAATACAGCTTTGTATATGATTCTATTTACAGTCTCACTTTCGGTAATTGATCGATGGAAATGAATTGCTACTTGTTTTATTTTCTTTTTCAATGTTTTGAACTTGCTGAAGTTCGGCGTTCGCCTCTTCTGGGCTTCAAGCTATCCCCTTGCAACACTGGTGAACCATCCGAAACTGCATCGCCTCTTCTGGCTTCAGGCTATCCCCTTGCAACACTGGTGAACTATCTGAAACTGCACTGCCAGCATCCTGCAACGGTAAGGATTGCCCCTGTTGCCGTGTTGGACTTGCGAAGTTTTGCATAGAATCACCAGATAAAATGTGATCTCTAAGGCTCTTGACAGACCTATATCGCATTATTTCATCTTGGTGATCCTGTGCTTGAGAATGTGAATCAAAAGCATCTGATTTTTCCTGACTTTTAGTAATGAAATCCCAGTCAGGACCATCTATACCATTGGGATTTCTTCTTTGTAAACAAATGCTTCCCCATTGAATATTCTCAGAAATGGACTTCCTTCCCTTGAAGTCTCTATCTACTGAATCGCGTTTCATATTATCTAAAGCATCACCATCAAAAGCAAAACTCCACTTGTAGCTTTTGCCGCAGTTGTCCATGTTTAATTCGATGGAGTGCAGATCACTATCAGCTGAATCATCTCCATCATGAACTACTTGTCCATTTTCTACTTCCAATCCATTTTCTTCTCTCTCAGCTCTTTGAATAGGACCGTTTCGGATTTGATTCAAATAAGCCTCAAGTTCTTTAATTCTTTCATAATTTGGAGAAGCATCATCGCCGTTTTCTTTACCTGCTAATTTTTCTCTAAGGTAGGCCTCAAGCTCATTTCTTAGCTTCTCAACTACAGCATTTTTCTCTTCAAAATGATATTTAGCCTCAGAGAGTTTCATCTGAACTCTTTCTTCACGCAGAACATCAGCTAATTGAAGCATTTCCCTTTCTTTTTCGACCTCCTCTTTAACTTTAGCAGATTCTCTTTTCAATTCTTCGACCTCAGCTCTGTCTTCTCCAATCCCTCTGGCCAGCTCATCGCAGACTTGCTCTAATATCTCCTTTGCCCTCTTCTCGCTCTCAAGCTCCTTCAATGCCTGAGAAAGCGATGCCTTCGTATCTGCCAATTCTTTTCCAAGCTTCTTATTCAACCTCTCTGTCTGTCTTCTTAATTTCTTTTCAACTTCAAGCTCTTCTGCAATGCATGCTATGGCATTGCGAATCCTATCTCTCTCTTTGCTTTTCCAAGCTGCCTTTTCTTCTTCAAAATTCTTGATAAGGTACTCAATCTCATTGCGGTGAGAGCGCTGTTCTTTGATCAATTGATCAACCTGGATTCTTGCTCGATCAAGTTCAACACCAAGTGCTGAGACAAGGGACATTCCTGATGAGTTTTGCTCATCAAGACCCCATATCCTGTTCAGAACTTTCAAAAGCTCTTTTGATGCTGTTAAGCCATTGCTAACATCCTTTAATCGAGTTTTAATACCAATTATACATTCCCACCTAAGGTTCTTCCCTTTAGCATGAGTTTCAATCTGCATTTTTAAAGAGGAAAATGGAACAATTAAAATTAAATAAAATAATCCACACATTTGCAAAGCTAAATCAACATGTATTTATTCTCTTTCTTTAAAAGAAAATTTAAGGAAGTGAGATATGATAATGTTGTGAAAGCTACAGTTGGTGGAGCCATTTTAAATTTTTGAGAGACAATTGAAAAAACTTGACAATAAAACAAGCAATTGGGTAGTAGGGACATGTTTCCTGTGCTATCATAATCCTGCTACAAAATTTGCAAACACTTTGAAAGCGACCCAAAAATAATATTACTTGTCATATACCTCCATCAAGCTCGCATTACTAACAGAGTCGAAGCCTCCTGCATTATAATCTGTTAGCTGATATTTCTTTGTCACAACTGATGCTCTTCTCCAACTCTTATGACCATTTCCTCTGGATCGATCCATCTTCTGCAAAATCCAAAGTAGAACGGGAACAATTTTGATAAGATCGAATTAAAATACAAAATAAATGATTAAAGGGTATATTTGTATGTTTATGTACATAAAGAAAACCTCTGAAATAGGAGTGTAATAAGATGGATCTGATAAATGAGGAAACTTTGGAAGTTTTTCTCTGCTTCTGATTTCCTTAGTATCTTCAGCAAAATCCTTTCTAATTAATGGAGAAGGGATGTTATTGATTTCCCAGAACGTGGCAGCCAATTTTCTGGCAGAAACTGAAGCTTCTTTAGTTTTGGGTCCACTTTGAGAGGGTGGACACTTGGTGGATTCTGTCGCATTTGGAATTGATAAAGTTGGAGACTTGGTGCTTGTCTTCCATGTTGGGACAGGAGTAGTAGATCCACCTCTTTTTCCAACAAGAATTGCTCTCTTAACCCTGTACTTCTGCACTAGCGAAGATGAAGAAGACGATGAATTCCCTCTCTTTCTGATCTTGCACTGCTCTCTAGCTTTTGCCTCCATATATCAAAACTGTACTCTTTTTTTTCTCTGAAACTTGACCTCTTTCAATATTTGCAAGAATTGGAGGGTTTGTTACTCTATTATAAAGATTGTCAAGATTATGATCATCTTTCCTGGCATTGTGATTGCCTCATAAGCAAAACAAGAGTTATGGAAATTCGCAAGATTTGGAAATTGAATGAAGGTATCGAGTAGCAGTAATGGCGGTGGCACAAAATTCAAGATTTGGAAGATTTGAAACAAGGAAAGATTGTATCCAAGAATTCAAAGTGTGGGGAAGAAGAAGAGATTCGGGGGGGCTAACAAGGGAAAAAAGATGATATAGGAGCATATTGGTGACCCATCTCTCTCTCTCTTTTACTCTTTTTGGCAAGTCCAAACTTGTTGCCTTGAATTCCTCAAAACAATAAAAGAAAAAATAAAAGAAGAGATTCAGTCTAAAAAGAGATCAAGAACCTAGAAAGAAAGAAAGTGGGCAAGTGTCAAGAAACAGAAGGTTACAGGTGTAAGAAGATTTTATTATTATTGAGAGGGAAAGAAAGAAAGAAAAAGGGATGGATGAGATGGGGATCAGTATTAGTTTCTGGTTTCTGTGTTCTTGCAGCGATAAAAAGACGAGAAGGGGACGTGGCGTACACGTGAGACTATTACATTCAATCAGGGACGTGCATGTGTAAATGAACAATCTCAAATCTTGACTAGGTTCAATCCCTGTTTATTTTGCCATCTTCTTTTTTGCTCGAATGCCTCTGTTATATTTTTAATAAGATTATCATAATTAATCATTTAGTCCTTAAATATTAGTGGAATATTATTATATCTCTTTTATTTGGTTAAAATCATTGATTCGTGTTTGAGATTTAATATCATTGAACTATTTAATTTTTTTCATCCAAAAGTGTTATGATTTACTATTTAATATCTTATTTAATAATACTTTTAAACAAAGTATGAACAAGGTCAAGGATTAAATAGTAAATATATAAAGCATTTTGTTTGACAATTGTTAGTTTATTATTATTATTATTAGAAATGGAAATTATTTTAAAAGAAAAACATATCATTTTAAATACTATTATAGAAATAATTTTCTTAACTTCAAGTCATTTAAAATTAATTATTTTTAATCTTTATGACTAAAATATTTTATATTCAATTTAAAATTTTATAATTCTTGATTAAAATATATATTACCTCTGCTCCTCAATATTTTTCACATTTGAAAAAGTACTCTATATTTTAAGATACTTATCACATTTATGGTTTCAAGGAATAATTTTTTTTTTTCATATTTACCCTTTGTATATGACCAATAATTATTACTTTAATTCTTCAAATTTTGGTTTGGATATATTAAATTTAAGATAACATAGTCAATTTATCTTTATAATTTATTGTAACTTAGATAAATTTAATAAATTTTTAAGAAATATGAAATTCTAAATGTGACAAGTATTTAGGAACAAAGGTAGTAACACTATTTTTTTATTATTTTATTCTTCACTGTATTAATAGTAATAATTGTCAATGTATTAAATTACCCAGTGTTAGAACTCAAGCAATGTGTGAAGTAATATCAAATGATGAAATAATCTTTTATGACATCATTTAAAAATAATAAAATTGTATATTAAAATGATAGTGAAATACATTACAAAATTGTATCTCATACAGATATGCTAAAAAATTTGCAATGCTAAAATGTGTCTTCTTAAGTGTCCTTCGAAACCTTTCACCAAGGTATGCAATAATAAAAGTTTTGCATGGTATGATATGCATAAAAAATACACACTCACTATTAATATATTTTTCAATAGCAATAATAATTTTGAGAATTTAACTAAGTATATTGAAATAAGAAATTAAAGGTGTATTCACTTGTAAAAAACTAGGTAGTTTTCTGTAAAAGTTTTCCAAAAAAACTGTAATGCAGAGTTTTGTATTCAAATTATTCAGTTTTCTATTTCGAAAACTAAAAAACAGTTTTTGAGTTTTCCAACTTTTGATCAAGACTTGGAGAACAGTTTTAAATTGTTTTTCAGAATTTTTCTTTATAACCAATTACATTGTTTTCCATTTTTAAAAGGCACATTCGAATAATTAAAATTATAATATCTATAAATAATTTTTTCCTAAATAAATATTTTCATTGAAAAAAATTTAATAACATAAAATTTATATTATGCCGTTAGTAATAGTAATGTTATTATTATAATATATTATATCCTTTATTTTCTAAAAAAATTACAAAACGAAAAAAATTTATATTATTATTTAAAATAATTAGAAATAAAATTTTTACAATTTTTAAATAAAATTTCTAAATTATTTTATATATTTATTTTTTTTTAATTATAAAAGATTTTAATTATAAAAATCATGAACAATATTTGTGAAGTTTTTAAATTAAAGTATAATTTTTATTATTTACTAAGTAAACACATTTTTCAATTTATATTTTCTAGCTTTCATTTTCTAAGAAAATTGTTTTCTTAAAAAGTAGAAAATAGAAAACCGAAAACTGTTTTCTATAATTAAACATAACCTAAGCATTTATTTTATTTTATTTTATAATTTATTATAAATAATTATTTATTTATTTGTAATATTAATGTATTTTACTCGCTTACTGTAGTGTATCTTAAGCGTGTGGAAGTCCTACTTTTTTGAAATTATTGTATTCCGTACCTTCACGTATTTCATTTCCCGCGTCTGTACAACCTAACTCCTAGCACATGAGACTACTTCATACACCAAGCTAATCACTAAATTTTGTTTTCATTTACTAATAAAAAATGAAGTATTTTTTTAATTTATTTTTTTATTTTTTATTAATTTGTTTAATAAAAACTACAATAAATAAATTAAAATGATAGGAGGTTAACTCTAAGTTGCATATTGTCAATTCAGTTATCAATAAAATTAATTTTTTTTTTTAAAATCAGTCCAACAACTTAATTTAGAATTTTGAAAGTTGAGTTAAACCAAAAAAAAAAAAAAAATCTAAAATCTATTATAAACTAAAAAGAAGAAATTAATTTCTAAAATCGGAAATCCAATTAAATGCAATAATGCAATATGATTTTTTTATTTTTTTAAAAAATACTATCGAACTCTAACCAGTGGGTAAAAGGTGACCGCAGATCTATATATCTATATATACTATATATATATCTAAATATAATCCTGAAGCAAAAAAAAATATTTCAAAAAATGCTGATATGTCAACTCTGATTTCTCTGGAAGAATTTTTTCTTTTTCCTTTTTTTCACAAAGTTTTGAGGCGCTTAGCTTTTTTTTTGTTTTTTTCAAAGTTTTTTATTTTTTTTTTTTTTTTCATTTTTATACTATTACTTTTACAATTTGATTAGCTACTAAATATTTTTTAAATTGAAAATTTAATATTTTATGATAATTAATCATTATTTTTGAAATTTAAACTTATCTATTTAAAAAAATTTTTTTACTATCATTTTTATAATTTGATTGGCCACTAAACTATTTTTTAAAATTTGAAATTTAAACTTTTCTATCTAAAACTCTCTAGCTATATATATTCTCTTGGTTGAGTCTCAATTCTTTGTATGTTTTTTTTTTTCTTTTACAATAGTTATTCTCTGTATTTTTTTTTTATTTCATAATAGTTTTTTCTTATTTTTTTGTTATTTCTTTCAATTCAATTCATTAGACCATTATGTGTATTCAGTTGTTTTTTCATATTTGCAATAGTTGCTACAATATCTAAATATTTCAAGGCTAGGTATGGTGAAATTATAAAGAATGGTGATGTTGGGTTCATGAAGATGATTCCAACAAAGTTCATGGTGGTGAAAATCTTCTCCGGGCATCCTCCATTTGGTTCAATTTTTTGTTAGGGACATGCATTATACAAAACTATTGGTGACCAAGTTTACTGCCAAAAAGGGAGGACAATGAATTATGTAGTCCATAATTTTCAATAATTATACTAAGATTTTTTTTTATTATTGTAATTTTGTGAGATGTTTTTAATTAAATGATAAATGGGCTTTGGGGGTTTGTTTTGGTTTTGTGTTTGTGATTATTTTGATTGTTTTATGATCTAGTTTGATATTTTTATGAAATTAACTCTCATTTTGTGATATTTGCATGAGTTTTCAAGTTACAATCTATTTAGTTAGCTAAATAAGATAACGATCATCGTAATGAGATGCATTTTTCAGATATTTAATTATTATTGATTCTTTTTTTAAGTATTTATTTTTAAATTTTAATTTTTTTAAAATTTAATTTGTAACATACAATGATAGATATGTATAGATAACTTTTGTTTGTTTTCTATTTTCTTATCTATGTGTATATTTTTTTCTTCTTCTCTATGTTTATATTTCTCTATGTTTATATATAATAATATATATATATATATATATTAAAAAGAGGATGCTTAGTTATGGATTGATTTTTTTTTATATTAAAAAGGATGCTTAGTTATGGATTGATTTTTTTTTAACAAATCATGTGCTACTATCTAAGAATATGTTCTCTTGCCAAGGTATAGTTTTTATTCTTTATTTTAACTTTGAATTGGATTATAAAAAAATACCCATGCAATGCGCAAGCCTTTATTTAGTTTCTAAATATATTTGTAGATATATTCTTAATATCTATTTTTCAATATCGAATGAAAAGACACATCGATATACACAGCTAATAAATTACTTACTTGAAATTTTATTTTTTATATTTTCCATTTATACTTCTAATATTTGTCATTTTATAATTCAAAATATTGTCAAGTGACAAATTATGCTACTTACACTTGGCTTCTAATAAACTACTCTCTTTTTATATATTATATAGATATAGATATAGATTATTATGAGAAGATAAAAGAAAAAGAAGCTAACCTCTCGTCATAATCTCCCTCGTATGATAAAAAATCAAGCATATGAAAGTTATATCCTCCAGTTGCTAAGATTCCATAGGACACTAAAATCAACTAATTCTCAATTATTGATGAATGATTTCATAGACTATGGTTTCAATTGAATAATTGAATCACAATGAAATGACTTATCTAATTTAATTTTTTTAAAAATAAATTTAATTCGGTTAGCTAAAAATCAAAATTAGCTATTATCTATCTAAAAATATAAAATCATTTTTTAAAAATAATTCTTTGAAGAACAAATGTGCATTGTTTGAGAATATATATATGATTAATTAGTAAAAGAAATATTCTTCCATTTTATTCATATTTATATTAAATAAAATTTGTGAGCTTGGAGTAATGATGTGAAATGAAATATAATTTAATAAAATCAATTAATCATGTGTAACAATTTTAAACAATTTTTATTTATGATGGAGAAAATAAAAATAATAGAGGAAGGAAAATGCAGAGAATAAAGAGTTGGGATTAGAAGCCAATTCTTCCAATAATCAATTTTGTCAAAGTATAACTATAAACGGGAGGAAAGTTAATTTATTAAATTAAAAAACTCATGAATTGGGAACAAAAAAATTAGGCACCGCTAATTCGTTGCATACTGATATGTTTCAGAACTAAATTTAAGAAAAAAATAAAAAGGAACTAATTTTTTTTTCAGAAAAAACTTATGTTACTTATTTTTTTGGATATAAAAGGAAAAT